CGACTCAAACAGGCCTTGACTCGTGCACCTGTTCTGAAGTTGCCTGACCCCACTCTGCCATTTGTTCTCACTACTGACGCCAGTCAGTATGGCATCGGGGCAGTCCTTCAGCAGGATGATGGTAATGGTCTGAGACCTGTAGAGTTTATGAGTAAGAAGATCAAAACTCAGAAGCTTCAGGACTCTACCTACGAGAAAGAGCTTTATGCTCTGGTCAGTGCCCTGAAACATTGGAAGCACTTTCTCCTAGGCAGACACTTCAAGATCTTTTCTGATCATTCCACCCTCCAGTGGTTGAAGTCCCAGGGAGAGTTAAATGATAAACTCGCACGCTACATTCAGTTCATTGATCTTTTCGACTTTTGAACTGAAGCATAAGAAGGACTGCTACAACAAGGTAGCAGACACCCTCTCTCGTAGGCCTGACTCTTTTGCGTTGATCTCCTCTACTCACTCCTTTGGAGAGGAGGTTCGTTAGACCATCGCTCGTTTGCTGCCTCAGGATCCGACTTATGGACCCATCGTCAGGAATCTGCAAGCAGATCCTAATGCTGAACCTGGCTATGCACTGAGTTCAGATCTGTTGTACACTTACAGCAGAGGAGAGGAACGCTTGTGCATCCCTGAGGACCAGCAGTTGAGGACACTGCTGATGTCAGAGTGCCACGATGCGCATGGACACTTTGGGTTCCTAAAGTCATATGCAGCCCTGTCGCAGCGCTTCTTCTGGAAGGAGATGCGGAGTGATATGTTGCGCTATGGGGATACATGTGAGCTCTGCCAAAGGAACAAGGTTCAGCAGAAACCTCCTTTGGGATTGCTCAAACCTCTGCCCATACCTGATGGTCCTGCCCAATCTGTATCCATTGACTTTACAGACTTAGGCAAGACTACCCCTCGTGGCATGCGTCAGGTCATGGTCTGCGTGGACAGGTTCTCCAAATACGCAGAGTTCATCCCCTTGCCAGAGGTAGCCAGGGTACCGGCTGTGAGAGCAGCCTTTTCTGAGAGGTGGGTCACACACCATGGACCGCCCACCTCTATTGTCAGTGATAGAGACCCCAGATTCTGCAGCGATGAGCGGCAGTCCTATTGCAAGGACTATCTGCAGTCACGCCTGGACATGACTTCTGGTCGTCATCCTGAAGCCAATGGATTGGCCGAAGTGATGAACCAGGTCCTGTTCCATTTGCTACGTCATGTGATCTCTCCTGATCAGCAGGACTGGGATCTCCACTTAGCGAGGGCACAACTCATGTATAACATGTCTGTCCACTCCTCGACAGGGTTAAGTCCCTACCGGTTACATTGGGGACGTGAACCACGACAGCCTCTCGATGATATCATCGATAAGGCTAAGCCTGACCTTACCCCAGGCACTGCAGAGTTCGCCAGACGCTATCATCTGGATGTGGAGAGAGCCCGTGCGAACTTGTTCAAGGCCCAAAAGGCCATGATTGAACAAGCAAACCGCCACAGACGACCTTCCCCTATCCGCACTGGTGACTATGTATGGGTGGCCAGTTCTGAGTTGTCGAGGGAGGAGGATATCTCTCCCAAGCTACTGCCACGCTACGTGGGTCCGTGGCAGGTTCTAGATACAGTGGGCGTTGATCCTTTCGGCCCATCGTACGTCAATGACGTGCCCGTGCATCTACGAAACTATCCGGTATCCCATGCATCTAAGCTGCTGCCTTTCATACCAGCTGATGCATTCCCGGACCGAGGGAGGAGGATATCTCTCCCAAGCTACTGCCACGCTACCTGGGTCCGTGGCAGGTTCTAGATACAGTGGGCGCTGATCCTTTCAGCCCATCGTACGTCAATGATGTGCCCCTGCATCTACGAACCTATCCGGTCTTCTATGCATCTAAGCTGCTGCCTTTCATACCAACTGATGCATTCCCGGACCGGCCCCCTCAATGGGGCCCACCAATCCTTGGTAAGGGATATGATGTGGTGGCCATTGAGGACGAGTGGGGCACTGGCCCCGACCGACAGTATCTTGTCAGGTTTGCATTCGAGCCTCCTTCTGAGAACCGATGGTTCTACAGAAGAGACCTGATCAAGACAGCAAAGTCTATAGCTCTGCCGTATGAGGCGGCTCAGAAGGGTAATCTTCGCCGCTCACCTCGTCTGCACCCCTAGCTCGGAGGTCCTCACTCCCGGGGAGGGTAAGCCTGCAATGACTTGCTGATTTCTGCTGCCGAGTTTGTCTGCAAGGCTGTACACTAACCGTAGGGATAGATTCGCAATTTTGTTTGGCTGAGGGCTAACCGAGTGACTTGCCTGTGGGGAAATTCGCGAGGGGCAGACCCGTAATTCTGAGGGACTATAGGCCCTAAACTAACCGAATCCCCACTACTACCCTAACTGCCTATAGCAGGCCCGGGCTACCCTAGGACTGACAGGCCCTAAGCGGCCTATACTGGTATACGGTCCTATAGCCTATAGCCGGGTCCGGTAGAGGCCGGGAGGCCGAGAGGCCGAGAAACAGCAACGGTACCGGTAGGTCCAGTCAGTCCAGTTTCGGCTTAGGCTAGTGTAGGAATCTATAAGTCTAGGAGGGAAACTGATAGGGGGACTTTTGGCTTTCATTTTTTGCATGCAGCGTTGGTGGCCAACCAAGTTGAGCAGCGCTGAATGTCTGCAGTGGCACCGGAGACATCAGCCGTGAGTGGAGCAGCCATAGCCCGCCACCTGAGACAGCCATAGCTGGGGCTGTACTCAGCGCATCTATCCCCGGGGGGATATCTGCGTTGGCAGTTCTATCTGGGAGGTCTTCACAGAGTACATGTGGGTACTGCTGCTGCGGTAGCAGCCAGGCAGCCATAGCTGTCTTCTTCATCGGCACTGGAGGCTACTTCGCTATTCATGATCTGCATCTGGGTGTATGGCGCTGGCCTCTGGGAGGCTATTTCTGTGCAGCGCTAGACTCTGAGAGTGTGGTGGTGAGTGGAGTGTGTGGTTCCTGAGTGGCGAGACACGGGGTGGAACTCTGTAACGATAATTGAGGTTAACTGTGTTGAGTTGGCTCTTCGTCTGGGTTACTTTCCAATTGTGATCTTCGCAGTGTCAATTGTGATTGGTTGTTGGGAGTGTGTCAGGGAGAGAGAAACACTGAGTGCATTCTCCCCTTCTGTGCATAATTGC